GTGAAAGGTGCTATAGAAATAAAGTTTACTTACTTACTTACTTACTTACTTACTTACTTACTTATTTACTTACTTACTTACTTGTTTGTTTATCGTGTGTTATATCACCTGAGCCAACCCTGAAGTCTCACCTGAGGGTGTACAGTATTCTCCCATCATTCCAGATCCTGAGCATGCGATTGGGTGTGGTAATCCAGTGGGCATCGGCTTTCTTTGAGTTGCGGAAAAAAGTGTCTGGGATCCAGATCTTCCCAACCATGTTGCTGTTGAGACGAAGGACCTTCATTGTGCTGTTGAATTTTAATCTTCTGTCGTACCAGGTCTGAGCGAAAAATATGTCGATGGTATATTCCTGAAAAAAATGAAGCATAATTGTTACATTTCAGCCTAATCTAAAACATTWAAAACGACTTATTGTTCTTGTTGCRTCTATTTTTATCATKTTTTGCAGGTTTAGCTCCAAGACCAAATCATGGGCGCAAAAACCTCTTAACCACCTTTTGTCAAAGGGGACCTTTTTTATGCCAGGGAGAACAATCAGCACACGTGAGCACTTTTTCTTTAGACAAAATAGTGCCTATTTAGGCCTAAAAGCTTTTTTGTCCCTAAAAGAGACCTTTGAAATAAAAAAAAGACACTCTGGACTTGAACCATAAATGCTTAGCAGGGCAGTAAATATATCCCATTGTTTGAAGGATTATAGAATCACATAACCTGCTGATGTAGCAGCACTTTGTCTCAAACCTTGTATCTTTTTCACTCCTTGCACTGACTGCACATAAATGGGTTTATGAGCAACAGAAGCAAGACAGAACTGAAGAGCTAGGAAACAGAAAACATCAACCTCTTTTTTGTATTAGTACACTTTTTCACTCCTCAGCTTTCTCACACTTGTGAGTTGTAACATTACTGTATTTCACAGATTCCTTACTCAAAATGAAGATATCAAATTTGCATTTGCGCTTACTGAAGACGCACGCCCCCTCACCATCTATCTAATTTTCACTCAAAAAAAAGACCAACCTCATTTGCTGTGTCATTGTGCAAACATGCTCAACCAACCACATGCATTATTTACTCATTTAAAGCTATCAAAGCTTCAAGTTAGCAGAATGCCCTCAGCTCAGCCATAATGTAAGTTCACATATTTTCTCACTGATCCACAGCCAAGTCTGCAGTGGATTTTAAGAGTAGGTGAAACTATATATATATATATATATATATGTAGTGTATATATATTTTTTTTTCTCTAAACGTCTATGCAACAAAAACTTAAAGAGAAACTGCATTTTGAAAAACTTAGACTATTTTCAGTTTCCCCCTATGTAATTTAGAGGCAATTATATCTTTACTTAACAGAAAGATAAAATGTGTGGACATTAATTTTTGAATACTCTAAAAATAGGAACAGAAACGGTCTTGGCAGTTCTTGGCAAATAAAAAGTGAGAACATCTTAGCATTTGCCAGAACAYGCAGCAAATTGAAAATAGACACAGTTTTGTATTTGGCTTGAAAAACAGGCACAGCAACAGTCACCTGTTATTTTTTATGATGTTCAGAGATGMCTTTTAAGGTAAACTGCAATTAAAACATTCCTTATGAACTAACTTTWCCACTATTTCAAAACCGTTGTCAAGAAGGCAATTGACAACAACACTGTAATGGTAAACAAATAAAGTTAAGGCTCCTCATAGAAGCTATATCATCCCACTAAAATGTTCATAAATAAGGTCCCAAATACTGGATAGTATCAATTCTAAATGACTGTAGAAATAAAGCATTAACAACAAATTTTATTTAGCAAAATTACAAGCCCAGGCAAATTTATAATAACAATGATTAAAGATATGCCCAATTTTCTTGTATCACTTACCATATTGATAGCATTCACYGGGCCAATGCTGTTGACAAACATGTCTGTGTGGATTACTGTTGGCTTGACTGCAAAGAAGCACAGGAAAACAGAGTTCAGGGGTCAGTGATATTTTACAAACTCCCATAGGYTTTACACAAATGGCTGTTGTTTTGTGTACCAATCATCAGAGCTACTGACAGTAAATAAACTTGTATGGGAATTAGATAACCAACACTTTGTGGTAAACCTCTTGGTTGTTGTTCTTGAGGCTGTTTGAAGATAACTAGAAAGACTATGATGGACAGCTTGGTGTCAAATGTCTGTCAGAGACTCTCAGCAGCTTGGGCCAGCGTCCACACTTTGATGAATCTAATAGATGACTTGTTGATATGTTTAAGAAGAAAGTTAGAATAAGACTTGGCTTCTCAAGGCTTAAAGTAGGCATACTCAGTGGGTTCTGGCATTATCAGTCCATTAAATGGATGTTATCAGCWATTATCAGTCCCATAGACTGGCTTCAGACTGTCCCGACTGTGCCATCTAGCAGGTTATCGTCCCATAGAATGGCTTTGGGCTGTCCCAACGGTGCCCCCTAGTGGGTTAATATGTCAATGGCATTGAATGTGTAAATAACACTGTCCCAACAGTGCCCTCTAGTGGGTTAATGTATCAATGACATTGGATGTGTCAATAACAAGGGCATATTTTGTGGAGTTTTTTTGTTGGGGGGATGTGGGGGGTGGGGGTGGGGTCTCGCGGCCTGTGCCTGATCTCGATCCTGGCCAGTGTTTTGCCCATTGTCTTATGTTGGGCCTGCAACAATGGTCTACTTTATTGTAGCCCATGTCATTTTCTCTAAAATTAACCTTAGTGGCTTTCTGCCTCAAATTAATCAGATTGCATAAAAAAAAAAAAAAAAACATTAGCGGTTTTATGCCTCATACTAAGCAGCTGACAGTCTGAAGCCATGCTATGGGACTGATAACGACTAATAACATCCATTTAATGGACGATAACATCCGAAGCGGGTGGCATRTTGTGCATTTTCCTTTTTTCATGTACATTATTCATTTGGGTTCTACATGAAGTGGAACTGCAATGCTTTGGTCTGAGCTCCTTATTGTAACTCCACATCCCTTTTTAGAGGTATATCTCAGATCAACTCATTTTAATCCAAACAAGGGGCTTCCCACCCCACTCCCATTTCAGCTTCCAGAGAGCTACATTCCAGATTGATAGATGTGTTTACCACTATATAGCAGTGCAGCAACTTTTTTTATTTATAACTTAATTAAAATTTGTTAACAAGGGAGGACTTGTCCATCCAGCCTTACATGTTGGAGCCAGAGTCTGACCCAGAGCCAGAGGACAATGAAGACCACCAAATTTTAATT